TTCAACTGGTAGCAGAAGCTTTCTACGTGACAACTGAGCGTTGGACGGTGCACCACGTTTAGGGGGTGTTCATACACCGCAGAAGCAATTGTTATGATTCACTGAATAATTGACAACTTGGTACCTTATTAACTGGAATGTCTTCGAAGGTTTCGATGACAACTGGTTCACGTATGACCTAGAGGGGGCTTGGGGAACAACGTCATTAGTCCCCTTATGGTGAATGATATTGAGAGTTATGTGACAGCTGAGGTGCCTGAACTGGTAAGGAGGGTTTTGGCCAGGTGGTGCGCGACAAGCATGAGTCCCAAGTTTGTGATTAGTTAAAAGCATCAAGTCACAAACTTACAATGAAGGGAGAACATGTTCCCCGGTAGTAAGGACCGCTACTATCTCCCTACTTGAGGTAATCCAACGGATCTAAGCCGGTTGATGTTTGCATGGCAAAAACACTCGTGGCTTTTGACCGTAATCACATTTCTGTTGAAAGCCAATTTTAGTTGGAAATGTTAGTGTCTTCCGATGTTACATCTTAATATATTTGAAAGATTGATTTTCTATACGTAAGCTTTAGTGTTTTACCTTTTTTCGTACATCTCTGCCAGGTTTGTAAGGCAAAACGATACGTTTGAATGTGACATGCAAATATAAATAAAAACCACAAATTCACCGTTTCTGTTGTCTTAGAATTTTTAAGATTTGTCTTCTTGACTTTTTAAATGTAAAATGGATGACTCCAAAACTAAGGATAAATGTTATGCCGAGTCAGGAACCCAACTCTTCAAAAATTGCCAGCTATCACAATGATGCAATTCTGAAGGGACTAGCGTGACAGTTAATTGGCTCATGGAGTTATGTAATATGCTTCAATTGAAGGTCTTGTGACCTTACATGATGTAATACAAGCTAATGTGAAGATGATGAACCATTTCTCAAGAAGGTTTTAAGTCAAATAACCCAAAAAGTCCCTTTTTAAGCCCACACACGTTTAATCGAATTTCGATATTCTGAAGCGATGTCAAATTTTTAGATAGCAAACGTGTTAATGTAAATTATGGCAGTAGGATAATATTAGTTTTTGAAAGGGTTTATGGAATTCGTTGATTTATTCTCCATTTTTCCACTGAACTATAATGCATGATTGTCGGTGAAAAACGGTACGGCTACATTCCAAACTGATAACATTTATTAAGGCATGCAGATTATTCATTGCCAGCATTAAATTTTGAGGTGAGATATGGCTTCGGAGAACAAGTTAACGGCTCGCGTCTTTAAATATCGGAAAGGTGTGTGACTGAGTTCGTCTAGTCTGGAGCTGGTATTAGTACGATTACACAGGTCCTTTCATGTGCATCAAAATTTGGACCTATTTACAAATTAAATTGCAGTAATTGTTTCAGAATAGGAATCCAATTGGTCCAGCTAAATGCAGCATCCTCATTTCATGACCATGAATTATTTGAAATGAGCTTTACACAGGAGAATGTCAGAGTTCATGTACTCACTTTAGACATGCATATAAACTGTTGGAATTTCAACTAGGAGCCCCACAATTAACTTTCGAAGACACTAGACAGAAAAAATGATGAAGGAGATAAATGTATCAATCATGCCCTAGACCCCGGTAACCTAGACTAGATGCTAATCACGTTCAGAATGTTCGGCTTTATTCTTAGATTAAAAAAATTAAAAAAAAAATAGTAAAATAAATCAGATCAGTCGTTTAGCCACGTCGAAATGATGCATTGTAGATGGGATCATCTTGCATAGTTTATTTACAGTTTAGACCAAACTCCAAAAGGAGTAATTTAAGTTATTCCACTCGTTAGCCTTAAATGGCAGCATTAGTGACCCACACCTGTGTAATAAGCCCAATGGACCTGTCGAAATAGATTCTCAATTGTCAAATGTGTCTGAATCGTGACGCACTAAAATGCTTAAAACTTGTCTCTACTATTCCTTCGAAAATTCTCACGCCACGTTCGCTATTTCTAGAGTGCCTCCTTTAAAGAATCTATGTGCAGCCTGGAGATAAGTGCATTTCCAACACTACAATTACCTTGGTGCCACGTTTTGCTTGCCATCAGTAGGTTATTAGTGCGAAACTGAGATTTTCAACGAAGTCGAACACTAAACGTAAAATCTACACCCCAACTCATCCATTTCAAGACACCCTAGGGCAACATGCACATTCCAATATATTACAACATGCCTCTTCCACTGTTGTGGCCATCATCTCTCGAATCATGAAGAACCACGCCTATCGACGCCATACACTTGACACATAGATACCGAACATAAGAGGCCTAGTCTACCGAAATTGGCCTTGTATACTTGCATTTCCAAGATGCCTGAGCTCTAAAGGTGAAATTTGGTTTTTCTTTACTTTACTCGCTGCTCAATGTGAAGAAGTAAATAAACTAAAATATTGTGTCTTCTGAGCTGTTAGTGTCAACAACGCCGAAGTCAAGTACAAACGACATCAAAATTAATTTAAAACTAATGGAAAAATGGGCCCGTCTCTTGTCGCGGATTGACGGGCACGGTGTCGCGGGCCGCATATTTTGCTCCCCACAGTAGACCGAACAGAATAGCGTTGTTTACGAAGGTATCAATGCTTTGATGCCAAATATACTATTTCATGATTTATTAATCTTCGAGTTTGCAAGGGCGATGTCCAGTCATTTAGAGTAGCATCTTTAAATCAAAAAGCTTATCCAATACATTTAAAGTTACGTCTTTTGAAAATCCAAAACCTATACAGGCTCAATTAATTTGGAAATTGGTGTCTACAAGTGTTGTTGGTGCACGAAAGTAGCCACCAAGCGGGATATTTTTGAGATCAGTTTCTCTCAAAAGAAAACAAAATGACGAAAAATCCGATGACTTACCAGGGCATTTTCATGGTGACTTTCATACTCAAAGCGCTCAAGTCACATAAAAGTACGAGATCAGCAGAATCCAAGTGGAAATGGAGAAATCGAATTTTGATTCACTTCCACGAATGCAACTCATCTCGATTTCATTGTAACCTTTACTTGCTAGTCTTATTTATGACCTGCCAAGCTTTCCGAGAAAAACGCTTGACTCCCCTTGTGGACAATCATGGCACTTCGAAACTAAACTTCAACACACTCAAAGTTCGTGAACTGCTCTTTTTAAAGTTTCATGTGGTGTCATGGAAATTTGGTAGACAACTGTTAAATGTTATGGAAAGCAGGACTCAGGTACAATTTGGACATTCAAAGCTCAAAAAATCTGCTCCAGTTTTATGGAAGCGCAACCACTGAAGGATTTTTGTAAAAATAACCGTGTCATCGAATGGCAGCAGTTCGAGACGAACAATACGGCTGTGGTTATTGATTTTCGTCACTTGGAAAGTCTTTCCGTGCGTCATGCACTTATCACCTCGGGTAACCAATTCCTCCCACATTTGACGACTCTTGAGCCGACAAGTCGAGACTGTCCATCCCATTTCCATCGAAGATCATGAAAGGAGAGAAAGCTAATTACGATACCCTCACTTCCATTGCAAGCGAAAATTATTTGACGAGGTTCAAATACCTAATTAAAACCTTACGTTAAATGTGGACGACTAATTTTCGGGGCATAAACCACGCCCTACACAACCAGGCTGACCAAGTTGTGGGAGAATTAATCTCAGTAATTTTTTAACCAGCGAAGAGTCACACGTCATATTGTGTAATTCGAGTAAAATGAAGTGGTCGAAGACGACTAGCTACGTTTACCTCTCTTATTGCGAACGTTATAAACCAGGCTCCGACTCAGCTACTGTTAACCGCGGAAAAATTTCATAGCCCATCCCGGTGATTTCCTTCATGTGAACACCATTGTTTAATAGAAATAGGCAAAGCCTCTCCGTTGGGAGAGTAGAGATTCATCCATGGGCTAACACGCGACTTATCTACTTCGCAACAGCATGATATAAATCTTCGCATGCATTGACAAGCGACAGAACTTGATCTCACAAATGTTCATTCGATTGCACAAAAAAGAAAGCCTGTTCAGAAATAACCAGTAGGGGTTTGAAGATTAATTTTTTCGGTTTATTGAGAATTGTAGTCAAGATGGTCGGCCACGCTAGTCCTCAGGATCAACAGTGCGTAATAATTTTTGCGATTTTACACCGTATTTTGGGGCTGATAACCAAGCATGATTTCAGTAGTACAACTCAACACTGCCAGAAAAACCGCAATGGAGAACAGGAACAATAAAAACTATGGTTCGCTCCCTTAATTCAGTCATACGCAATGAATTAGACGTGATCTCCGATCATTTATGATTCGCGCAACGTAACTGCATCGGCAAAATTAAACCTAGGACACGAGGCAATATGCTAACCAACGTGGAAACAAAACGCATGTTACCGAAAACAATAATCAAGTTAAAGGTATACACGCTCGAACGTTTTGCGAAAAATCAAAAGATAACAAGACCACCTTCAAAAGAGTGAATGCATACGATCGATAAGAGACACTTAGAAATTCTGCGTGGGAGCCCAGCACAAGTTATAATAATTAAGACGACACATTCCACCCAAAATTCAATAACAGCAAACACCCAGAAACAGAAAAATAGGAGCAAATGCCGCTCTAATGATCAAAAAAGGACCAGAAAATGTACGAATTCAGAGTTAAAGCACAAATTTCACTAAAGAAAACCCTAGTCATGTCGACATAAGAAAACCTGCAAAAGTTTTAATCGGACGAGACAAGGAAATCGCAAAGGTGTAAAATGTCAAAACAATAAGGATGTGATGAGAGGGCAGTAATAGAAATCAACAAATATAGCATATCCAGTAAGCTCAGTAGCATAACCCACAAAGCCGTAAAACGTGAGCAGATCCTGAAGCTGTAAACCGGAAAGCAATTAGTAAGCCAGTCGGATAGGGATGTCAGGATGGAATGCATAAAAACCGCAGGGATATTAATTGGCGTGATTAATGTTCAACAGCATGCAGTACATAATTACATGTTCGGTCATAGAACTTTACACCGCTTCTTCCTTGACTTCTTCGAAGTTTCCAAAGCAGCTCGAGTTGCCGTCTCGAAGACCTTACGGACATTCTCCTTCGTCTTAGCTAAAACCCCAGTAATCCTTTCAACAGTTTCTTACCGGAACACTCTATATAATCATAGGCACCGATTTGCATGGCCTTGGCTTTTCCTTGCTCAGTTGTCACAGTTGTCTGCTTAACTTTTGCAAGTTCTGCACGAGTCTTTTCGTCATTTCGGAGGTCCTTCTTGTTCCCCACAAGGATTATTGGCACATTAGGGCAGAAGTGTTGGACCTTAAACAGTAATCCAGCACCACACACATACCTCAGCAGTCCATTTCTCCGAAATATTCTCCAAACTATCAGGACTATCTATCGAGAAGCACATGAGAATAACATCCGTTTCAGGGTATGAGAGTGGACGAAGGCGGTCATAATCCTCCTGCCCGGCAGTATCCCACAACGCCAGCTCCACCTTCACAAATCACCACAAAACCTTAGTACTTACTCTAGTGTTGTCTATCTCAATGTCGGCGACATAGTTCTCGAAGACCGTCGGAACATACACTTCTGGGAATTGATCCTTACTGAACACAATCAATAAGCAAGTCTTCCCACAGGTTCCATCGCCAACAATAACCAGCTTCTTCCGTATAGCCCCAGTCGCCATTTCTTAAGTAACTCAAATCAGACCGCCACGACAACTTTAGCGAGCTAAAGTTTTAGTCTATTTAAAGTCCAAAATTGTATTTCTCACTTGACATGAAATCTGAGAATTAGGCATCAGGAACTGTTAATTACAGTGATTACGGGCTAATTATTTGCATCTAAATCATTTTGGTTTTACCTATGCAGTTCCTTTTTTCTAATATGGTAATTGTCTATTTCCGAATTTTTGGCGACCATTTGTGCGCAATGAACTGTTAGATAGAATGCAAGGCCTCGCCCTTACTAAAATCACTTATTTTTGCGTGTATTTTTGCAGATATTTATTGAAGTCTGTTAATGCTGTCAACATAAATTTCTGAATGAATATACTTGAATGTATCAAAAGATTTATTTGGTCTTTAGTGGAATGACTTGAAGCATTATTTGCAAACATAAGATTCAGGAAAATATTACTGGATAATTTGTTAAAATTGTTTTTTTTTTGCATTTGTGACCTAATCGTTTTCATCGGACGGTGTTTTACGTATCTTCAGGAGCAGACATATGTATTCCCCACCACTAAGTCTTTAAATTTTTTTTAGCCCCTTAATTTCTCTACTAATGGTTTTATGGTTTGCAATTTTACGATAGAGCGTTGTTGGTCCCTACTTCATCTTGTAACTTAATACAGTCTTAATTTAGAGATTGATATTCGAGCAAATTAATTTGCTTTGTAATTTACGGACATATATTTAGAAGTAATTGTAACAAACGACAAGCTTTTTAAATTCCTCTCTTAACCGAGTAAAGCTCTATTTAGACATGATCGTAGTAGGTTTCCTCTTGTGGATTTATTATGTTCCTTTTTATTTGTATGAGTGGACCTGTGCTTGAATGTCTTTTTTTCGAATTTGGCTATCATTTGTAAATTATTTTGCATTACCGTATCGACTTTAACCATCTTAATATCTACATCGACTTTGCCATGGAAATTATTGCAGTGACTCTCCAATTTTTCAGTGATATTTCTATATTTGTTGTTTAGTGTATTACTATGCAACGGGAGCATTAATTTTCTTCGAATCTGATGTCATGAAAGGTGTTAGTAGAAGGATATTTTACTCAGTGATGATGTGCATCTAAATGTTATTATCCACGAAATTCTTACCAAACCTCTTTTGAATTAACTTTTTCTATTTTTTTAAAATTTTTTGTGCAATGTTATTCCGGTTTATGAACAATGTACACACATCCTAGATTAACCGTGACTAAGCTAACCCATATATGCTATTTTCGTTTCTGTAGAATTACCATAAGTTACTACAAAACCGAGTATTAAGTGATTGCCCTCGTATACCTGCCATCGAAATCAATTCACGCGCATGCGTAAATAGTGGTGATGGCGTGAATTAGCAATATTACCAACGGGGAAAACGTCCGGAGCATCTCGTTCTGGGTGAACAAACTTAGTCGACGGCACTGAGCACGACATATCATCAGACCAATAAAGTGACAAGAAGTGATAACTACTTCTGGACTGTTTATATGCCCCCAAAATAAATCCCTAATATCATTATTTCCTGATAGGGCAATCACGAGGTGGACAACAAGAAAACTTCAAAACCGATACACGAACACATTTTTTTGCAAATTTTCACGTTAGAGACGTCTATAAATTGCCGCACCGCATTAATTTACGACACTTGTCCCTGAGCCTTCCGGGTTTCTGATATTACTTGAAAAAGATGTTAAAAAGCCTGTCGAAAAAATAGCCTAATACTCTCCCAGAAATGAAGCACTACTCGGGTTTCGAACTCATCTCAATTGGGGATAGGTCCGATGGCCTGCTGAATTTCGGAGAATTTTATCAGCCGCTACACAACCACGTCTATCCGAACTTTTTATACCCCCAGATAATGCAATAAGATTTGTGGTGATGACTTTAGAAAGCAGTTTTTTATTCCGAGAACTCGTGTTGAGTACCTATACTGGTTTGGTAGTGCAGTATGGGCCGCTGCCGCATTGGATCGAGCCACGCGCTCAAGCGATCGCGTCTTTAAGTCTCTGAATGGCCTATGAGAAACATCAACAGGCAAACGGAGACGAGAATGGATTGGCGACAGGTTTCCGAGGCTCTCGATAGAGATTGACTTCCATCTCAATTGAACGAGTTACCATTTTAGCTTCAGGTGTTGATTCTTTGACTCAGAACAATGCAACTTCTTACGAAAGCTCTCAATCCGATAATACAAGCACAAAATCTGCGAGTAAAAATGGCTAAATTCTATTCCATAATTGTTCTGGTAAAAACCATTTGTGCTAGATCAATAACAGTTGGCAGCGCAAATTAGGTGAAATATCCTGTGGATGCCAAAACTATGATACAATGCGAAGATACTTCCTTTAAAAATTGAAGGATTTAATGTAGTGAAAAGAGAAGTTAGTCGGGAAGCTAGTGGTCTTATGTCTTCTTCTTCTTTAATCATGTCTACAAACTCAATGTTATCATGTCTCGTAATTATAGCTGTTGTTAGAAGCCATTAGCATTTGCAAAGTATAAAACATGAGATGCCCATTCATTTGCAATTGAATACTGGGAACAATACACCCGTGTTTCCCTTTGGCATAAAGTAAATTTGATTAGAATTCGGAAAATTGCGAGGAAAAAGCGCTCACGATGCCACTTAGTTATTCTGTTGGGACCTATACAGACGAAATTTACTGGTGATAGTATGGCCTTTGAGAAACACAAATCAAACTAGTCGACTCCATCTCTAACACTTTTTCGTATCGCCGGATTCTGCTGCCTCCAGACCGCTCGGAAGTTAATGCAATTCGTATACACGGGCTTGTGAACCTGTAGACTTATGAAAGCAATTTGCATTGACCACAACCGCTCGATTGACTATCAAGCTCCACAACTGTAGAATTCTAAAAGATGGCAAATGTAAGCAGATTTGCTCAAATTCCTCTCTTTTGAGCCGAGAGGTAGCGGGTAATCTCTCGTAGGACCCTATCTGGAAAAATGTTATGCACAAACACCCGTTGATGTTAAAAATTCCAGGTTGTTCAGAGTGCAGCACTATTTTTTGCAAGTCATGGAGGATTATACATTGTACTTAAAGAATTGTTTCGAACTGAAAAGAGACCAATCACGAGTACATATATACATGGAGGCACAGACAGCGGCATACAGAGAGGGAGCCATTGTTTTTGTAGAGTTTCGAATAATGGGAAAGAAAGAATCAACGTGGCCACCGGTGTAAATTTGAACGTTTTAGGAGGGGGTAGGGGTTAGGTGGTGGACTCGGTTAGCCTAATCGACCTTGGGTCTCGTTGGATCGGTCCCAATATCAACTTGAAGTGATTCATCATTTTCGGCACTTTCATACAAGTGGTGGGTCTCTGAGGGGGATAAGAGTTTTCCAACCAGTGGGTATCGCTCTAAAGGGAAGACAACAGCATTTAATCTTTCGGCAAAGTGGGATTGAAAAGAAATATTTCCAAGATGATTCTTCAAATCCATTATAATTTATAAAGAAATCACAGACGTATAGAACGGGACTTCAAGAGCACAAACACTAATAGGATTATACATGGATGCATTCGTTGTTACGATTAGAATAGGATTTACGGAAAAAGTATCATAGAGAAACAATGGAGCAGATGGTTACAAAATCAAAAGGTCCACAACCCAACATTTAGCGAGTTACAAAAGTATCGAATAGCGCGAGTCACCGTGGGCGAACACAGCAACACAAACTACTTGTAACGCTTGAAACTACTTATCAAAGGAAGGAAAGAGTCATTACAACAGTCTTCAACTCATTAGTCAGCAAATCGCAAATTAGGAAAAGATAAGGGTGGAAGCGAAAGCGCAAAAAAAGGTTTCATCCAATTGACTAGTAGCTGGGTGGAGATAAGACAATGCACATGATGAGGAAGCGCTATTTAATTTAACGAGCACGAGCCAAGAGACGGGGGATGAGGAACAAAAGTGGTAGTAAAAGCCGAGTGTTTGTTATTTTTGATTCATGTGCACAGACAAAAAACAGACAAACTGGAATCAGGCAAAGTGTGGTCAACAAATTCAAATTGATGGAACTACTTTAATAAATAAAAATTGAGGAATGGAGATTCTCTCCCCAGTGAAATTCAGCAATAAAATAGATTTCCTGGCGTAATCACAACACCGGTAATGAGCACTTAATACTAATCTGCTCAACACTATGTGATGCTTAATGCCACTACTAGAATACCAGAGATTTTGGAATTGGAGAACCAGGACTCAGCGCCGGACGATGGTACCCAAACAATAAAAATGGTGATAACAATTGATATAACCATAAAATCACACTTGGGATAGATAGCATGGGGCCACAAGGAGAAAAGTGTGGCCATTTCAAGAACTTCCACAAATTTTACCAGAACAACCAAGGTAAGCGACTTTGTCTCACTTTCTCACGAACTAAATTGGCATCAGGTAATAACACTGTTCTTTGCTGTTTTAATGTGCCGCAATTAATATCAAGTGTTTTGTAAAATATTATAAGCGATAGACAGCGCATTGATTTCTCCCAGATTTCAACCAAGATGACAATAAATTCCGCAAATGTAATGCATAAAAAACGAAAATGCTTGACATTTCACTTTGTAGATGCACTAGTACAATTAATGATGTCATCTAATCAGTCATTTCTCGGTTCCAATAAAAATGAAGTGAAAAAAATATTTACGTACTGAAGATCTAAAGTACACCGTGACACCCTACATGGAAAATCAAGCTACGAAGATTCATATTTGCATATTGCATTCGTTCACAACATGGCGACATGCGCCTTAAACAAAAGCCTTCTACTTAAAATCATGCGGGCTTCCATTTTGCTACTAATCATCTCTTATTTAAAGTACAACGGCAAAACCTCTGAGGTACTGCAGAAGTGTGAATGAAGTACTATTACGAACTATTTTGGCGTTTTTCAAGATAGTCAACAAGAACTATAACTGAATGAACTCACATTTCCTCCATGGCTAAAAGCCAAAAACTCAAGTCGGATTAATTCCATCGAGCTCATCCAAATATCACTTTCATCGACCTTTCACCCTTTACCAACACTTCATACTAACTCCTAATCATTACTCATCCCAAGCTTGCGCGTTACAATTACGGAGCCGTCACTGGTCTTCGGAAGGAGACCTCGTGTTTGATCCAGAGAACTCGCTTAGACGATGATGGGAAACTCAGCTGTCCTAATAAAGCGTTCAGTGAGTATTTTAGCTGGCTCTATTTAAATACAAGCGCCTGAATGTGAATGATGATAATTGCGCAATCTGGAGCACCAGAGTTCATGGTCAACCACAAGGAATGGAAAGCCGTATTTTAAATAGAAAAAAAATCCACAATGTAAACTAGAGTGATTCTCCACCAAATACCTCAAAAGTAAATTATTAGGCCCAAAAAAAACTAAAAACGGAGAAAATTCTAGGGAACTGTGATTTGACAAGACGATTGCGCAATCTTCACGAGTTCCTCAGGCTATAATTTCGTGAGTTGTGCGTAATTTGCGGGTTCTCAATAGAGGTTTGGAGGGTGAAAGGGCAAGATAACACAACTTGTTGATAGTAACAGTTCTACTGATTTGCAAAAACTTCACTGAAATTCTATTTGGGTCATCTACGTAGGGATTCAGAAAATTTGGCAAAAACGTTTAAAAGCAAATGAAGACCATGGCATTTCCTAGATCCTATATTTAGCATCCAAATATTATAAGCGTTGATTAGGGAACATCTACCTATAATGGTAGAAACACTAGCAATTAAACAGCTCTATGATACAATCATAGAAGTAACATATCAATAGGTAAAGGACACTAATGTTTCATCATGAGATGCAGCACCATACAAAAATATGGTACAGACAAAGTAATAGAACTGATGTAAAACACATAGATTGAATAAATGTTATACCTTTATCGATTTTGAGGCAAACATGACCTCGTAAGTTAGGATAGTCTCTAAATATCTAAATTCTCAACTGATATTACTGCTAGCATTACAGTCAAGTAACTTGAACGTTCAACAAACATAATAAACAATCACTCGACGGTAACTAACCACGAAACTGAAGCTCCCACTCCTTAAGGCTCTTCATCTGATCAGAAGTAAGGTCCGAAAGGTCATCATATTCATCACTACATGCGGGCATGTCAGTCGTGAACATTGTCAATGATCTCGAAGCATCACGACCAGCAAAAATTGCATACGGCCCGTCCTTTCCATAAAACTCCCTGCCATTATTGGTAACATCAAAAACATTTCCGTTGACAGCAATTAGAATCCGGCCATCTACACCACTACCATCAAACTGTCTAAGTTCTTGAATAGTAAAATCCCGTTTGCGCATGTTAGGCAACGTTGCAGGGTGGGGTTTCTTGTTAAATAAATGAACAGTACATATCAAAACTGGGATGGCAACAAGTATAAACGATATTATTCCAAGCGAAATCATCCAGAAGTGGAACGACGAGATCGTCCCCACAGCGGACAGCCAACCCCACATCCCGCCAACTCGACACTCATATATTGAGCGCAGTAAACAATTCAAAATCACAAACTTAAACACATTGCAAACACATGTACTTTGCTTTAGAAAGCATATAGACATCGTTTTTTTACCACAATGGTATTAACTGGCAAATTAAAATTATCGAAAACCTAAACATTCTGAAAATTAATGCTAAATGCTCTGAATGTCTCACGAAAAAGGCCAATCAACCGTTGAAATGCATATAAAATATCTGACCCAAAGACAAACAGTGTGATAACCTTTTGAACGATTTCTTTAATTTTAAAAGGAAAAACAATTTCTTTAAGTAACACAGTAATCGAATTAATAGTTTACAGAGCTGAGCAATTCCACGTCGTTTAATAATGCTGGACTGAACCATGAAAGTTTATCACCTAATTAAAGCATTTAAAAATACATAACTGAATTTTAACCTAATTTGTTTAGTGTTTTTCTAAACTTTGACACTCACGCTTCGTACAATGCTGGTCCTTAAAGTGTTAATTTAACGGGGGCTTTAAATTATCATGAAATGAACTAAGCAAAATAATAACGTGTGTCGATACTTTGTATTTGCAGATACCTTAGCATAATTAATTAAATGATGTTGGTTTACCTCCATTTGTAGTCATTTCCTATTTTTTCCAATCCCATTGTCCGCTTCTTAGTATGTTGGAATTCATTGTTGTCGCGTTTCTCTATATTTTTTTTTGTTTAAGACAAAATATCGTTGTGCGCATTTGTTTCTAAAAGTATCTTTAGTGGTAATTTTACATGATTATTTGGTTGATTTTATCCTCAAATATTGCATTTTGATGAGCTAGAATGAACCAATCAATGCAGAGCAATTATTTGTTTTAGTGTGGTTTTGTTTCGTTGTGGATTGTCCCGTCTATCAATGAGGTTTGTAGTATTTTTTTCATCAGAGGCTTTAATTTGCTCTGACAACGAAATTTTGGCTACCTGTTTTTAAACTTGATTTTACTGCGTCTTCATCTCCCTCCTTCTTTACATGATTAGTAGTTTGAGGTTCCAAGGTACAAGCTCTAATCTGTTAATGTCTTGACTGCGTCTTTCTGACAAATAAGACTTTTCCCTAATTAGACGCTTTTAAAGGGTTTTTGTTTTGATGATCAGGATACCAAGGTTTCATTTCGTTTGCGCATCAATTTTTGGTTTGCTATTAACCTAATCCATCTTCCCTATTTAAATGTCTTATCTAGGTCTTCTTGTGTTTTTTGAACTTTTTTTATTCTCAACAGTTATCTTTATTCGCCAACAAGTCTTGGGTACAAGCTGGAAGAAGTGGTTAATGAAGGTTACGCTCCTCAAAGCTCAACACTCGAATCCGAGGTTTCACCTGCTAATGTTGTGAGTACGCCGTACACTCCTCCGGAAGTTGACTCTCACCTAAAACTGACCGTGGAAAATGAGTCTCATCCTGATTCGGACAATGAGTATCGTGTGAAACCGCTTGTTGATCCAACTACACCTATCTATGCTCCGTCGAGAACTGCTCTCGAAAACGAAGTCAGTGATGTCGAAGGTGATGAGGCGGTAGTATTGGGGATATCTCCAAAGGTCGTAAGGCCCCAATCTCCCCTGGACAATAAAGATCACTCCACTTCTGATGTTGATGAGGGTACAGGAGTCTTCGATGAGGAAGACAGGGGTGAGGGGGATTTCGAGGGCTTTGATGGAGAATTGGAAGGCACCAAGGGAATGATTGCGGATATTTTCGGTGAAAGTGATGCAGACGAGGAGGAAGAATTCGAAGGTTTTGCGGAAAATGAAGTTGAGAACGACATGGCAGCTTCAAGTGCTGTACCTGCACCAACTGATATGGTGGAACGCGAAGGAATGGAGGATTCCGGTGGACATCAACAGCTGCAGGTGGACGATGACAACGAGGCGGAAGGTGGGGATGAGTTTGTCTCCGACTTTGACCGGATCATGAGTCGTCGGCGTGAAGAAACGCGTCGGAAACGGAGACTTGGAAAGGACGATGAATTCCTTAATGATAGTGACGATATTATTCGAGAAACAATCACTAGAATGCAAGCTGCTGCAGAGGAGGATCGTCGCCTTATGAATAAAAATAGACCGGCCACGAAGAAACTGAGCATGCTCAATATAGTTAGTAGTTTACTTAAAAAGGCGGATATGAAATCTGCTTTGATTGACAATGGCATGCTTAGTGCCATCACAGATTGGCTGTCCCCAGTTTGCGGTCAAACCTTGCCAAATGTTATTATCAGGGAAACACTTTTACGACATCTTAGCGAGTTTCATATTCAAGAACCTGACCTGCTACGTGAATCGGGCATCGGGAAAGCAGTTATGTATTTGTATATGCATCCCAGGGAAACACGAGCAAATAAGAAGCGCGCCGGACACCTAATTAGTAAGTCATTCGAGCGTCAAACATCAAATTATCTGTATTACATTGGATTTTAATGCCACAAATAACTTTTAAGAGGTTGTCGTTCCATTCCTATTCACTTCTAAATTTCCCGCATGAATTCGTTGAGTTCCGAGGACACTCCCTTGTACGCCCTTTGTTTTACGAGGGTGCCATGTGTCCTGAGTGCCATCATCCACTTTTCAACATAGTCGTAATATTTTGCTACCATCTATTTGACTCTTTTCTGAAAAACATCTGCAACTGAATGGAGGTGAGTGAACTGTAGTCCTGGTTGATTTATTGTAAAGACGAACACCTCTGGCCACACTTGGTGAGAGGTCATTTAGACTAATAACCCGGGCATTGTGACTAGGTCAACATCGCTCCTCTCGTCTCTCTCCCAAATAATGGGGAACTTTATTCCCGGTTCCAGCACCCACAAATAAGTAATTTCAACCTCCGATTTCTTATTTTCAGATGAATGGTCACGACCGATCTTCAATTTAACTAGCGATTATCGGACCCTTTCTAAGGAGGAACGTAAACAGTTGGATTATGAACACTTGCCAAAACGTCGTAACTATGGGTAATCTTATTAACAGTTATTAATCCTCCCCTAAAATTCTGCTAGTGTTAACTAGCTTGACTTTCAAACAATTTTCCCTGTTCCCTTTTACCATAGTCTCGTTGCCTTATCACGAGGAGTGTCTATGCGTTTTGATTTACTTCGATATCCTATGATTTGAAAAATTGAGCTGTACTGCGAATCACGCTAGAACCTAATTCTAATTCCTCTTTGTTTGCCTAACTTATTGACGTTTGAGGTGTTCGAATCTAGGGCTCATGCCCCTGACAGCGCTTTAACTTTGGTTAATCTGTTCGCCAAATGCGCATTTTAGTGAAAAGACTTTTTTGGCTCTTCTGTTTTCGTATCATAATTAACTTATATGCAACCATTGCTTTTTACCTTTAGTAATGAAATGGTGAACCACCGGGATCTCAATCGTGAAATGGTTGAACAGCAGGGGTAGGTTAAATTATTTTACTCGGAATTCCTAATATTGTCGTTGGAGAATTCCCTCGTTTGTTAGTTTGCGCGGAACCGTTGGTGTTTAATTCCATAACTACGATATTCTATTGTCTCGTTGTGATTTTGTTGTACATCGCCACTAACATCGATTGGATAAGCTAAGATGCAAATCTAGCCTTTGCCACCATTAGTTTTGCATAAATTGTGTCAAAACAGTGTGGGAAGTTTTCATCATCAGAAACTGATCTTGAACTTCCCACTTGTAATTGTTCTTACTATTTGTCGGATGTCGTTCAATTTAAATGAAAAATATCTTTTGTTATCTTGTTCTGATGTTGTCATTTTTCTGTTTAATATTTGCCTTTCACTGCTTCCTTGGCGTTAATAGTTGTGCTTTAGCAGATGTGCAAACATCATCAGACATGTATACAGAGTTTGTCGTGTGCAAAGACTGTTGGTGTTTTCAGACGCTGTACTGGCCGAAATTAACTAGATGATTCTTTTGAGAAGGCCTTAGAATTAACTAGACATTCACTTTTATAATAAAACAACACTTGGATAACTTGTCCCAGTCGATGTGGTACTCCCATAAGGGAGTTTCTCAGGTAATGGTTAGGCATGCAGATTTTGGTGTCTTTGTATTTCTCTGTCCAACAACTTGGCAAGGTTTTGTATTATTTAATCTAATCACCACATTGCATAATAGATTTATCTGTGGAATATTATGGGATACCTGCAGAACTATAGGTGATTCTACTCACTCATGCTTCGCTTTCCTTGAGCAGCACGTTTTTTTAAATTCTGCATGAGATTAAGTTCATGAGTGTGTCTCGACTATTAGTTGTCCTCTAAATTATGTCGTCCGAATTGGGCGGACGGGTCGGTGGTATGATTTCGGCAATGGAATGGGTATGTTCGCAATATCTTTTAGGTTTTATCATTGCGATGACTTGGAATATTTTAGAAATTAGTGTTACAGGAACGCCTCGCCGTTTTTTTCCGAACTGTCAACCAGATACGCATTATTACATTTACCTATTAGGAGTTTCTGAATATTCCATTAAAATAACTTTATTCGGTAACGGTGGTTTTCGAACACATATTTGCCTACACTGCAATCCGTATGTACTGTAAGGATACAAATCCGTTTGTCCATCATGCTATCAAGTGATTACGCACTCTCGAAACTCCTGGAATTTTAACTTTTTACTTTTTCCTCGTACAATGCTCACTTTCACGCACTACAGTAGTCATCTTGCATATTTTATTTTGGGGATTACATCAGAGGTGGTCAAACCTTGGGGTTCTGTTTGGTCATTTACTGTGTCTACGTTGGGCATAGCATTCACCCACCCACCGTTTTGTCTTTAGGGCTCTTCGACCTGGCGATCCAGGATGGGTAAATCGTGCTCGTGTTCCACAGCCCTCCAATAAGGATTACGTTGTGCGGCCTAAGTGGAATGTCCCTGCCAACCCCTCGGGCTCTGACGACGAAGACGAGGAGGAGGGCGAGAGCAAAGGCAGTCAGCGCCCCGCACGAAGACAGCGAGTGCACCAATCCCGTTTCTTTAAGAAATCCACGGACACTGGAGGTACCTCCTCTCGCATAGAAACCCACATCCGGGCGCTGGCCAAAAAAGCAGCGTTGCAGAAAAGTTCCCGTTTCGTCCGTGCAGTGCCCATGTCTGTCGAAGGCAGGAAGATGTCCCTCTAGTACCGGTCCAATTTTACCACACCCTCCTTAGTCCTCTGTATAAAAATGACCCGCAATGACACCTCGCATCCTCCTACTGGCTATTCTGTGGTTTTTAAAAGACCGCAATATCCTAAAAGTATGCCTGTGAGAATTTTGATTTTGTCTCCATAAAAAACTTAATGTTCATGATCCCAGATTTGCTGACTACGGAAAAAGTGGCGCAAGGAAAGTTCGGGTGCCCACCTAGAATGCTGGCTGGGGGTACCGTCTTTGACTCATCAATCTGCGTCTAAATGACTAGAGGGAGCTCATGGACAGTCGATTTCCAACAAATGGGCGAAGGAGGTTTGTCAAAATGGCTTGGTGACGAGGGGCGCCCACCACGAACCTCTGCTCAACATGTGCATGCGTAAGTACCAGTAGTTCGAGTTGAATCGGACTAGCGTGCACTGCCAAGAAGGCATGTAATAAAAGGAGACTGGTTTAACGCAAACGTAGGATATTTGTGAGCAGTGCGAACATCAGACCCTACGGGGTCGCGTGTAGGGGTGAAGGAGGTACTGTGAGAAAGCGCGAACTTTATCCGCTCCGCGGACTTCTTCATCGAGCTGAGGAAGTTGGATGACGTGCATGTCGTCATAGAGCTCAAGGATTTGCTCTAAATACTTGGCTTGGATCCGATGTCTGGCTTTGCACATTCCACAATCTGTTGGCAGTTTTGCTGATTTTAAATCACCTCGATTTCCGTCACCACTTGTCTCTAAATTTGGAAACAGCAACTGATTGACGATAATATTGTGGATGTCAATTTCTTGCTCCGCCAAAGCCTAAAACAGAAGTAGAGGCAAGAAATACTTGGAGTAAGGAATATAAATTGCTTGATTGGGGTTTCACTATTAGTAAGAAGTATACAGCGAGACGCTTAATAAAAACGTAAACTTATATCAACGATCAATAATTTCGTACTTTTGTCAGAATGCATATGTCGTACTTTGATTTGTGAAAAACGTACCTGGACAAGCCGTTCAGTTTCGTACATGCTCAGAAACTCGGCGATACAGACACAGACGAAGGTGGTTTGGTTTGGGTCTTTGAACTGCTGCGTAATCTCTCGAACGACCGGTAAACGACTTTCAATGGCTTGCGAGAAGTCTTCTGGACCCATCATACCTCCCACGCCACCACCAACACCAATAAACGACATCATTTGGTTAAGTAATGGTGCAATTGAGTTTTTAAGTCTGACTAATTTGTTCATTCCATTTTCCATGAGCTCAGGGAAGGCGAGCAAGCGTAGAGTGTGGCCAGTTGGGGCTGTGTCAAATACAACCACAGAGTAGTCCATGCTACGCACAAGACGGAAGACTTCGATGTATGACATGTACTCATCAATACCGGGGATAGAATTCATAACACTAGCCAATGTTCGTCGGAGGTCGGCGGAGCGCGTCGCCTCATCTATCCCTGCAACATCTTCTTCAAGTTCCTCCACACTCATGTTAGGATCAATTTCCATTGCGTAAAGATTTGTGAAACCCTACAGGAAAAAAGTCTTGGAATAAATCCGACACTCAATAATGATACAAGACCTACCGCATCAAAAAAAAACAGTATTGTCGTATAAGGGCAAGTAAATGAGGAAACGATAACTGCATCCCCGATGCATTTTATATAAGCAACTATAAATATATACGCAGACGGCATAAATAACATAAATAAACATGGTATTGCCACAATTGCGTGATGTGGCAACGGTTAATCTCAGTGTATAAACCAAACCGGTAAGGCATATATTCAGTTTATCTTGATAGCCCCAAACGAAAAAAACACGATATAAGATATCAAATACGATCATACATTAATAAGTGTAGGAGATTTTGAGAATTTCTGATCGAAAGCATCAGAAAGGTTGTGTGCTGGGTCAGTACTGATTATAAGAACGCGATCGCGAACTTTAGACAGTTCCACTGCAAGGCAACAGCTGCATGTCGTCTTCCCAACGCCACCTTTGCCACCCACAAATATCCAACGCAATGAGGTTTGATCCAATAAATTATTTATTGTTGGACTAAGCGTAGCCATCTCTGTTTTGGATTACGCGCAGAAGTCAGTAGATAGTATAAATAATTAGTCAACCCTAGGTATTTGGCTAAAAGACGCCCTTGTAAGCACGCTACCCCAAAAAACAAATACCAGCTTAATGGGTTAAAATATTTATTTAAGAATTTGTCCAGAGTCCCAATTTCTTGGCCACTCCGTCTTGACGGAATTTTTAAACCTAACTTTGTCGCATTAGTAACGTTGAGAACTCGAACGTTTTAATGAAGCATTCAGAGAGTGCTTCAGCAAACTCTTACCAAATGCTAGTGCCTCATGGTTAATAATGGCAACTGTGCAGTCTGACGCACTAGAGTTCATGTCCAACCACTAGGAAGAAAAAGCCGTCTTTTAAATAGAAAAAAATAAACAATGTAAACTAGAGCGATTCTTCACCAAAATACCTCAAAAGTAAATTATTAAGCCCAAAAAAAACTAACAACGGAGAAAATTCTAGGGAACTGTGATTTGACAAGAAGACTATTGCGCAATCATCACAAGTTCCTCAGACTACAATTTCGTGATTTGTGCGTGATTTGCGGGATCTCAATAGAGGTTTGGAGGGCT